CCAAACTCGGCTCCAGAGCCTACATTCGCTCCACGCCACCGTCGAAGGGGGGGTCGAAAAGGCGGAAAGCCGCGCCATCGAGCGGAGGGAGCGGCTCCAGCAGCTCCGTGTTTCCCTCGATGAGATCGCCGCGGAGGAGCGGCTCGTCGCGCGGGCCGCCCACGCCACTGCGGGGGTTCTCCACGCCGTGGAAAAAACCCTCAAGGACACCCTTCACGGCGAGGCCCCCCTCGCAAAGCTCCTCGAAAAGGGCCGACGGACGGTCTCCGGGCGGACGGCAGGGGATTTTCGCCAGCTTGTCGCGGAGCTTCGCCGGCGAATGACAGGGCTGAGTGAATTCATCAACGACATGCGTGGCGGGAAGGCCCCTCCGCCAGGGCTCCGGCAGCAGCTCCGCGAGTGGGCCCAGGGAAGTTGGAAAACGCAGCCGGAGCTTGCCGGTGTGGTGCAGGCCGCCGAGGGGGCTCTTTCCTCACCTGCTCCTTTTTCGCCTGAAATGGCGCCGCATCCGGTGATTTTTCACGAAGATCTGATTTTCGACCTTCCTATGCATTCGAATGAGGCTGCTAACGTCTCCAGCAAAACTGTGCAAGAGCGTAATGCCAGTGGCTCGCTTCTTTCTCAGGCTTCTCAAATGGTGGAGCTTTACCAACGCGAGCTTCGGTCTTTTGATAACGAAAGAGAAAAAATAGAAAGGCTCTGCAAGGAGCACGGCGTTTCGTGCGAAGTATTCGATCCTGCTATTATTTCTCGCACTCATAACGAGTGGGAACAACTCATCGAGGCCTACCGGCAGTGGATTCCAATGCTCGCGGATATTGAGAGTATTTATCAAGCTATTCGTACGGAGCAGGAGGTGCTAGGAAAAATTCTCAATGACACTCAACACGAAGATCAAGTTTCTGAGAAGCTAAAAGGCAGCTCAAATGCAAGCGATGAGAAGATTTCGTATCAATGGCAGGAACTCAATAATTACACCACCGCGTGGCAGAGTGGCCTTAAAGCGATGCAGGCCTTACGGGATACTCTTCAAGACTTGGAGAGGAAAAACAACGAGGCGGGCGATGCCCTTTTGGCGAAAGAATCATCCCTTAAAGAGCTTCAGAACGTGCTTTTAATCAACACGGAGGCGCAGTCCACGTCTCTTGAGACGCTTCAAAGCTCTTTACAAGGGGCGGTGGATGAGCTCGCGGCCAGTGAAAAGGCGGAATCCGCCGCGTTAATTAGCGCCGATCAAACTCAAGAACATCTTAACGCGCTTGAAAAAAAACTTCATCACTTGAAAAGCATTGTATGCGCACCTGAAGAAATCAATGAAAACGAATTAGCATTTTTATTCGATCATGTGCGTGTTGCCGCTCAAGAGCTTTCAAACCTGAGTGAAATATCCAATTCGGGAGTATTTTCAGAGATACGAAGCGAATTGGTAGGTGATACTCCCATTTTTGACGAAAAGATCATACCAAAGATTTTTAATCTTCTTTCGGAGCGAAGTCAACAAAATTTTCAAGATAACGATACTAACACTAATGACCCTGAGGTCATCGGTAATGCGCTTCGTAAGCTGCTCATTTCTGAGCTTCCAAACGGTGATCGCCTTGCTTCTGTGAGCTCCGACGTCTGGCAAGCGGTGGTGGAATGGCTGACGAAAGAGGCAAAAGAAGCTCGTGAAAAGTCAAATGATCACACGAATGCTCTTCTCAATATGGATAAAGAAATTAATCTTCTCACAGACGAGTTGAGCGAAAGCTAAACTAAAAATAAGAAAAGAAGGGAGGGAAAAATACACGCAAGGCAACATAATAAACAAAACTATGTGATGCCTCTTCACCCTAATTCTTTATTTCTAATTTTTTTTTCAAGAATTCATTTATTGAATCACCGCTTTTTTCTCTTTATATGTGTTTTACCATGTTATACTTTATTTTCTTTAGATTTCTAAAACTCCTTTCATATGTTCTGCTACAATTTTATTCACTTTATCTCTTGTTCATATTCTTTAAATCGACAATATATAATGCATCAATGGGATTTATTAGATATGCTACATGTTTACAGAATGAGTTTCAATGTCTAACAATTTCCTCATTCATACCCGTTATTATATATTTCCTCTTGGATTTTTAGCGCCCACGACACTTATTTTTCATTGCTTTTTTTTTTACTTACTACAGGGATTAGTAACCAATATTGTTAACTTTTAAATAAACATATTCTTTTATAGACATCGAACTTTTTTTTTCCTTAAAAAAACCGTTTAGTATATTTTTATCTACTTAATATTCTATTATTAGTATCTTTCAGTGCGATCTATTATTGCGTTAATGTTCTCAACCCGCTCTGTCAGATGCTTCCCATCACGGCCTTTTTTGCTTCTGTTTTTCTTCCTCAGTATCCTATTGATTTTCAAGAGTGAGGTGGAGGCCTTTCCGACCTTTGGCGGCCATTCTCACGACGAGCTTTACCGGGATCTTGGTCTTTCCACCTACGCCTCCAAGGCGGATATTCGCAGCGCCTTTCGCCGGCTCGCGCGCGAATGCCATCCCGATCTCAAAGACGGATTTGAGGCGAAAGATGCGGCCAAGCTCCAGATGGCGAAGGTGCTTCGCGCGTATGAAATTCTCTCGGATGAGGCGAAGAAACTTCAGTACGACCAAACCGGTGTGATCCCCGGCGAGCCTTTTAACCCCCAAGGGACCTCCGTGGATGATATGTTCGTTCATTTTCACCAACCCGTCCCGATCTTCTCGAAAACGATGACGTTGGAGTCGGAGGCGCTGCTCGAGCGGATTCTCGCCTTCCGGGGTGCGCGTTTGTTTGTCTTTCAGGTTTACGACGACCACTGCAAGCAGTGCCGGGCCTTTTCCACCGTCTGGGAGGCCTTTCGCCTCACCAGCATTGTCGAGGCCGGGCTTGTGGAGATGCTCCGGATTGACGCGAAGTCCTCCGAGGGCGCCGCGCTGCTTTCGAAGCTGAAGATTAAGTATAGCGGCTCGCCGATGGTTTTCCTTTATGTGGACGGCTCGAAGTGGCCCTTTCACGCCCTCGCCAAGACGCTTGGGAGCGGCAGTAATCGCCAGGTTTACCAGGAATTACAGAATTTCATCATGGGGTTCTTCCAAGACGGGCAATCCGCAATTCGCGAGATCGGGGACGACCAAACAAGCGCCGTGTTGAATTTCCTCCACGAGCCTCGCCCGGTTGAGCGTCCGATGCGCGTTTTACTTCCGCGGTATCTTTCCTTGGACTTCTTCCCGGTGACGCTTCGGATGCGGTATGGAAATGTGGACATTGCCCAGGTTCCTCGGGACCTCATGCTTCATCTGATCGAGCGCTGCGAACTTAAAATTGACCTTCGAAACAGCTTCGGCGAGAAAGTCGAGGTCCCCGCCTTTATTATCCTCTCCCAGCAGGAAGTGCCGATACTCGGCAATTCCACCGATTCCCTGGGGAGTCTGGCGAGCTGCGAGGGCCTCCACGTCGGGGCCTCCATCGCGCTGACGTACAAAAAAGCGGCGGAGTTCGTCGGGTCATTCGTCCCCCCCCCGCATCCCGACATGGGGGATTTGACGTATCTCGATTCGATGAATTTTTACCAAATTTGCAAAGAAAACTGCCTGGTGTGGGTTCGCCGGGACTGCGGGCCGGGGCCGAGCGATGTTTTTCCACCCGACCCCGACGACGATTCGTGGGCGATTCGCCGGGGGGATGCGAGCCCGCCCGAGCAGGATGCCGACGTGCAGAAGATGGTCGCCCTGCTCAAACGCGATTATTATTCTTTCAAGACGGGCTATATGTGCGCGAATCAGCAGCCTTTCTTGTCGGCGCGCTTTCCCGAGCTGGCGATGTTCTCAGGGCCCTTTCTTTTCGCCATTCAAAACAGCAATGACGGCATGCCGTATTGGTTTTCGCATCCTGCGCGGATGCCCTTTTCGGCGTTGAACGCCTCGATGATCGATCGCGGGCTTTCGGAGCTGATGAGCGAGGATGACGAGATGCCGAAGGAGGCCATTCCCATCCCAGGACCGCGAATCACCACCCTTTTCCCCACCCAAACCTTCCCCATTTCGAAAAAACAGTGGTATTTTCACATGTTCGCGAACCTTGACAGCACGATTGGGTCGGTGTTTGGAGGTATCATGCCCTTCGTCATCATGTATCTTGTCCACACCAAAATCATCAATCCCGCCCAAGACCGCGAGAACCCCACCAGGGGAACTACGAGTGGGGCGACGTCGACCTCATCGGAGCCGTATCGGATTTCCATTTTTACCCCCGCGGATGTCCGCGAAGCGAAGGGCGGGAGCGGGTTTTTAATTCTCATTTTTGACAAGCGAGCCGATTCCGGGCGCGCCTTCTTACCGCAGACCAATCTCGCCAGAGATCCGCGTTTAACGCTTCGCGTGGTCAGCTCGGCGCAGGATCAATGGCGGCGGTGGATGAAAGAGCTCACGGCCAATGGCACCAATAATAATACTGAACGCAATGGCCAAGAACTCGAATTGTATGTTTTGGCGATTTGTAAATCTAAAATGAAGGCCGTAGCGAAGCCTCGCGGGCAAGGTCTGGATTCTTTTTTTGGCGATTTGCTTAAAGGTAAACTCCCCGTAACCGAAGAACTCCCCGGATGGGCTCTTCAATAAATTAATATAGAATATTCTTCCCTTTTGTTAGTTGTTTTTTCTCATTCACTTATTCACTGTACAAAGTATCAATAGTGTGGTACATTTGTTATTTGATACACTAATTTTGTGTTGTGCGTGGGTGCTTATTAAAATATGCTTATCGTAATAAATTTGTGTGGGAAGACCAGAATTGACCGGATAAGTACAACTAATTTCGTTTATTATTCATTTCACAACTGAAAGCAACTGTATGGGGTTTATTATTGATCTTTTTCCTTCCTTTCCTTTCCCCCCCCCATGCCCTTCAAAGTGCACCAACCCCTCTAAGATTAAGGGAGCAAAGGCAAAGACGCTTTGTGATCCATTTCGCCCAGAATAACCCCAGAGGACCCTGTCGCTTTGGGTGTAGTGTCGTTCCACATCCCACCCCTTGACTTCGAGCCCATTTCGCTATCGTTTGATTCTATTTTTATTGGTGTGAGTGAGTGTGTGAGTGTGTGTGGAAGGAACCTTCCGTAGGATTTCTTAGACCCCTATTATTGCGCCGAATCCCCCCTTAACGGGCCTTTAACCGCGTTTTCCTTGCGTGGGATGTCGACCCCGGCCCCTGGCGGCGCCGCGCTGGTCTACGGCCGGCTCGAGGACGCCCTCGGCGCCCCCCCCCTCCCCGACCACGAGGTCTACAAACTCGCCCGCGAGGAGGAGCTCGCGGCCTTCCGCGGGTTCTGCCGCGTTCTTGCGATGCACTTCGGCGCGGAGCCCCCGAAAGGGCCGCGGCGGATGCTCGAGGACTTCGCCGAGCTCCTCGCCCTCTCGCGGGAGCGCCTGGCGCTGGAGTGGGAGGCCGCGCTCGGGGATTTGGTCGTGCAGGGGGTCCGCCAGAGCGGCCTTTTACGCCGCCGG